TCCTCAACTCTCAAGCGGTCTTTTTTCTACCCCGCTGTCCTTATCTCCCTCCCCTCTCCTCCTTCCTGCTCTTTCTGTCTCTCCGTCGGGGATGTTTGTTCAGCTTGTCACTGTGCCATCACTCGAGTAGGATGTCTGTTGCTGAGTGGTCTTCTGTACTACCCTCCCGCTCTGTTAATCTCCTTTTTCACATGCACAGAGCAGAACCTAAAAAATATGCCTGCTTTTTATATTCTCCCGGGAGTCGCAAGCTGTGGTTTTAGTTGGTGTTTGTCTGTTTTTCTAGTCTTGCCAGACATATTATAATCAGTGAGTTACTGTGTAATTACAAAACATTTTGTTCTGTAACACAACCCATGAGCAATAAAAATAGGCTAATGCAAACCTAATGTTTAACCCAGTTAGACATTTACTGTAAGCTGAGAAGGGCTGGACCTGAATTAGCCCCTCAATGTCCTTTGTGCAATGCATTGTGGGAGTGTAGTGTCTATCAGCAGCACGCTCATAAAACAAGCATGCATACATATTGACTGATCTTTGAATATAGATATAGTTTAAGTCACTTTTTAAGTGTGAACACATTACATACTCTAGTGGAAAATGAATATGTGGTGTTAATGACATTTACACCACAAAAGGGCAGAGACACAGTGAGCTGTCATCATAACTTTCAAACTCAAGATCTTTGTACCCAAACCGACAGCTAACCAAGAGTTTGTTACCAGATGTTTGTCAGAGATGGAGGTGTAGCCTTGTAAGATTACAGTAACTTCAAACAGTGAAAGTTAGATTTGACACATTTTTATGTAATTGCATGAATCACCACCTCGTGTGGGCGATCCACTGAAAATGAAACTGCGGTGAAACTATGGTGCAAGTTATCTCTGTAAGGATGCATGGTGTATGTAGTAGTGTGTAGTCGTATGTTTTGTTTGTAATTTTTTATTAAAGTTCAAGCTCTGTCATAGATACAACTATAACCTAACAATTTAACATTTTTAAAGAGTCTGAAACCTGCATTAACATGGTTTGGCATGCATGGTCAGCTTACTAACACACTCAGGACAGACGGACAGCAGCCATCACCCATCTTCAGCCCAGGTGGAAGGGGACGACTGTCTCACTGTTTCCCTGCATAGTTGTCAGTAATCACTCTGTTGCTCTGTCTCTGTCAGTTACAGCTGCGGATGTTGTGCTCTTAAAGAGATAAGACACATCTGCTCTCCCCCCACGAGCTAGCTGATTAGCATTCGCATCGTCACAATTCACCCATGGGCCATCCTACCAGCATGAGCATTAACATTGGCATCATTAATAGCATGATCTCCACTCAGAGTCGTCTCTGCCAGACAGCACCTCTCTCCAGCTAAGCTACCGAATGTGGCTGGAGTGGACATCACCCTTGTTTAAAACACTATTCATCAGCCAGCCTCATTTGCACCCCAGCTTATTATTCATTGTATAATTTGATATGCCTTCACTGACTTGGCTTAGTACTCATTTTAACATGCTTCAGTGATGCTTTCGACTCTGCTTCGCTGACAATCTGCGATAGGCTAGAGATGAGGGTGATATGAGCAATTATGCGGCCAATACATCAATCTGTCTTCATTTCTCTGGAGGATTCGATTGAGCTGAATTTAGCAAGGGCCCAGGTCAACTCATCTCCATTTTCGGCCCATCTCCAGTAGAGGTTTCTCCATGACACAGTATGACACTGCAAACTATATCAGTTTATGAGGGATTATATTAAAGAAGGAGTCCTTTTTTACTTTTATACTCCGAGTACATTTCAGAGCCTGTACTTTTTCTCTTTTACTTCAGTGCTTCAGTTTCTACCGGAGTATTTTTACTTGAATAAAGAAGGTATTTACTTTTGCCATCACTAACAACAGTTCACAGCACGGTTTGCTGCGTGTGAAAATCTTATGATCTGGCCTTCAGTGAGATGTGAAACCGGTACTTAGGTAAGTGGATTAATGAGGATGTTTTTTTCTCATAAGGAAGCCTGTTGCTTCTTCTGCATGTGCAACAGCATTGTTTCTTGCTCTCACTCACTCTCACTTCCTGTCATAAACAGATGGGTGACAAATTAAAAAACTGATTAAATGGGTGATGCAACATAATGAATGCAGATGCATCCATACAGAACACAAAGGGCAGAGGTGGGAAGCAGTTTCAGGTTACTCAAGTATTTATTTTATATATTTTGACAGCTTTTTGCTTTTAGCCTCTATATTCAGGGGTGTTACTTTAGTTTTAATGCATTTAAGGGGAATTGTGGATTGTTTCTTAAATTTATTTTGCATCATTGCACGCCTTCCCAACATCATGTATGACAGACATATCTGTGTATATGAGGAAACTTGAACCTATTAGAAGTTTTAGTTAGCTCTGTGAGAGAGAGTACTTTTTCACTTTTACTTGAGTAAAGAAGTTGAATCAGTACTTATATTTCTTATCTTAATTTTTTTTACGAAAGAAAAGAAGGTGTGTACTTTTGCCACCTGTGACAAAGGTTCACAGAGTGGTTTGATGAGTGTGAATATCGTATGATCTGGCTTTCAGTCATTCACTTGAGCTTAACATAAGTGAACACCTATGGGAGATTTTAAACCTATTTTTGGAGAGTGGTGTAGCAGGGTCTGAGTAGAGAAAATGTTCTGGTGGCTTGAACACCTTACACCAAGTTACTTCATGCTGCATGCATCTGTATATTCAAATTTAGATTTTGACTTGTGGGAAAAAACGGCGAAAGCCAGGAAGCCCCCGTCCCTCTCTAATAATTATTTTTCTCTGCTCTCGTCTCTCTCGTCTCTCTCTCTCTCTCTGAAGAGCCCTCCGTGATTCTCTCTTTCCCTTCGTTCCCTTGCTCCTTTCCCAGTGGTGGGGTCAGAGGGCCTGTCCTCTCCACTGGAGCCAGTTGGAGTGACGAATGGCAACACGGCGCTGCCAGCGGCCCGCAGCACAAACAGTAAACAGAGCAGAGGGTGGAGGAAGAGAGCGGAGGGGTGCGATAAGAAAGAGAAATGAAGAGCGAGAGTGAACTAGGAAGAGGAATGGCGGGGGGGGGCTTACTGCAAAGGACGAGCACTAAAGGTCAGAAGATGTGCAGGGCGATCTCCGGCAGAGGTTTATGTATCTATTTTTGAAGCACTGGATGAAATAGCCTATTGCTGAGATCAGATGTGGTTACACACTTTTTTAATTTATTCCAAGGTTTACAAAAATAGCCTATTTCAACCCTGAAATGAACAAATTTCCCCCAGATGAGTAAGTGGTGTAGCAGTAGTGGTCTGATGTGTCCTCATCTTGTTGATCTCTCTGCTTCTCTATCAGTTGAAAATGAATATAGAGCATCTGTTCTCCTCACCAAGGAGACCAGACACAGACAAACCAAGTGACAGCATTTTTCAACATGCAAAGTGCATTCATGTCTGTCAGCGTGTAGCCGCGTTGACGCACTTTGGCTAGAGTCACCAACACGCTCACTCTCAATTATGCTTATCTTGGTGTCGTTTGAGGTATTAAAAATGCATTAGACTCTAGCAATTATGATAGCTCTGCCAGTTGTGAATAATACATATTTAATGGAGAGTAATACAGATTATTGCAAACTCTTTAATTGCGTTTTAATTCCCCAAGATCCCGCCTGAAGAGAGAGGGTGACGAGGAAATCATTAACTACATTAAAAATCCACTTTCACATGGCCAGGTGTTCCCTGCCTGTAAGCAAACAGCATGGGACCACAGAGGGTACTTTATTATAGATGTGACAGCCGTCTGACTTTGGTGATACTTACGGGTTATGTGATATTTACAGAGCATCCTTTGAGTCTCTTTTTTTTTTTTAACTTGCCATTGCTTGATACTTACATAAGACTATGTCTCTCTCCTTGCCCCTTTCTTTCTCTCTCCCTGTCTCAGTAAATCATTTCCCCAGGGCCAGTCATTAGCATCCTCTGAAGTTGCCATGTCTAACATCGCTTCTCCAATGTGCCAATCTAAAAAGACAGTATCGCTTTGAGAATCTCCCGAGCTCCACTGGAACAAAAAGATAGCGAAAGGAAAGGAATTCTCTGTGTTTACAGAGTGCGGTTGACATTGCAGGGTCTCTTGGTTGGGCGCTGGAGCAGGTGATAGTAGCACTGCGCCACACACACACATGCACACACACCCTGTCTTGTCGCCACCTCAGCCATCACTCTGAATGATGTCAGTCAAATTAATTGCTGTTCCCTTCCCGTGGCACGCTTGAGGAGGTTTCACAGAGGCAAGGACAGTCCGGGGCCCAGAGAAAGCGGGCTTTAAAGGACAACTCTGTGTGTGTGTGTGTGTGTGTGTGATTGTGCAAGCGAGAAAAATAGTTATCACAGTATTTACACTATTTCATATTTTCCTAATGAGCATGAACTTAATTTGATTTAAAAATCTGTCCTCTAAATCTGTCGAGACTTGCTGTATAATGAGAGCCGCTCCTGACTCTTTAATCACTTTAAAGTGTTTATGTGATAAGACATAGCAACTGTTTAACACTGAAATTCATCTCATTCTGATTTTCATGGTCATTGAGGAGTTGGGCACATCTACAGAGATATTCTTTATCTCTAATAAACACAAACTTAATTCCAAACCAACTTAGATTTTCATCTAATTTATCGTTTCAGAATCTAGGAAGGAATGTTTAACTGGGTCTCGCAAAACAAAAATCCATCACATGTCCTTGTCGCTGCTCTGCTCTCCCTCCACACTTCAACTACTTCGATCTCCCTCTCTGTCCCGTTCAAGCATCTGAATAGATCAGGGCGTGTAGGTTCTGGTGACACTTGCATCCTTAATATACAAAGTTACTGAACCACTGAAAACAGAAATTTAGAATCACCTGTCTCCTTGTTTTAGCTGAGACTCAAAGTTCATGTTTAGTTGTCAGGTATTGTTTCAAGACTTCAATCGTGTCAGGGTAGAAAACTTTAGTGCAATGAATGGAAAAAACAAAGGGATAAAGAGGTGCCACAGTGGTGGTTTTTACTTTATTATTTCAGGCGATTCACAGCTCCAGATTGGGCCTTTCACTTTGCTAATGATGGCAATACATCACCCGGCCGAACAGCCACATGAACAGCAGAATTACACAAGAGTGAAATTTTGGATGTGAGACCCAGCTGGTCCCGTTAGGTTTTACCCTTTAGACTCTGGTGTGAAATGTGCTTCAGGAAGTTTGACGTGTGGAGGTCAAAGCTGTACAGCCACACATGCACCACACAGAGGATTTCACGGAAAGGGACAAACACACTTTTATTAAGCTGTGCATTGAGATATTTCCACATGGCTGAAGCAGACACTGCACAACTCATTTTTCTTCTGTTACGAATGTAACATAACAACACGTATTCAGTGGTCGGACCTCTATAACAACTGCACATTCTAAAGAGACCGATTTTAGCCAAGTACAAACACCTACAGCTCTTGTTTGTGTCATGAATGCTCACTGTAGCTAACTGATGAAGCAAGTTAGCGCAAGAAAACATAAATACAGCACATCAAATCAGAGGTAACTGTTGATGGTTATGGCAATGCATCCTGTTATTCATATTCCACCAGTAAGTATGATTCACTTCATAGGATACTTCCTGGGTCTTATTTTGATAGTCTGGGACATATTTTCTTTTTCAGTCATGATGATATTTTACTCACCAACATTTTGGAAAATACGCTTATTCACTTTCTTGCTGCACGTTAGATGAGAAGATCTACCACACACAATTTGTCCATTAGATATGAAGCTACTGCCAAGAGATGTGAGCTTAGATTAGCATAACATGTCTTATTTGGTTGATCCGAAGTTTGAAAACAACAAGTTTTTTGTTTGTTTGTTTGTCTTTACGTGATTTTTTTCTAGAGGTGCAAAAGAGAAATAATAAGTCAAGCAAGAAAGCTAATAGGTGTGCTTCCCAAATTGTCAAACAATTTCTTTAACAGCTGAGATTTGGGAACACAGTGACTTCGCTAATAAGACATATGACAAGACAAGAGATACAGGCAGTCAGATAATCAGATCACAGGTTTCATACAAACCATCAGCTTAGCGACCATATATGGAAGATGGCAAACTGTATTACATAAACTGTCCATCGTAAACACCCATCAAAGTTTTCCTCTTTGACGGATTGTACTTATTTGAGTTGCTACTACCGATTATTTCTGTCCAAGTTATTAAAAATCTGATCTGTAATTATGTGTTTGAAATTAAAGGTCACAGTGGATATGCAGCGCTCTGTACTACAACGGGGATCATTTATAAAATACACTGTCCAGTTCATACCCTGTCGCCCTCTGTAATCTCAGCTATTGTTGCTCTTTTTCCTAACACAAAATGTAGGAAACAAGCTCACTGTAATGTGAGGAAGCCTGTTTGATATATAAAAAAATAAATAAGGGAAAGGCTGGTTCCTGATTTGGTTAAAGGGAAACTGCATTACAGTAATGTTATCTTGTCACTCAAGTGAGTCAGCGGAGGCATCAAATTAAAGGAACACTTATTCTTTAACATTGTTTATGATAATGTGATGTGTTTTCAAATTAATTAAAACAAACTGCATAATAGCTCAAATAATTTCTAACTAAACTTTTTGAAAGCGCAAATGCACAACACACAGTTTTCCTGTGCTACAGGTTGATATTTCACCTGTTCCTCCAAATGCAGTGACTTCAGTAATCTGACTAAATTGTGGGCTGTGTTACAACTGGTCTGATTGCCTGGCTGCTTGTATTTCTTGCCTTGTCGTATTTCATCATGTTGACGTCAGTGTTCCAAGAGGTCAGCAATTACTTAAGTGAGTACAATGTTTTCATAACCAACAGAAAAAAAGGCCCAAATGTGTACAAGATTATCTTTTAATCATTGGCTTTAAAGAGCTAATTAAAACAGATCCACCTAAACATTATTCAGTCAGTTACAATTCTGTATCAGCCCCTAAATAAGCACAATAGGCAAATACACCACAAGTGAAGCAAAAACTTTGTTTAGGGTATGTGCCTTTTCTTTTAAAGAGGTCATCAGCTGTTGTTTATGAAAAATACAGGACACACAAAGTGACACTCATCCATAAAACACCGTCAAGCACTGAAACAAATATTTTATGAGGTGTTTGCTGAGTAAATTTGGTTTGAAGTTATAATGACTTGACATTTGGATGAGATATAAATAACAATTCTGCACCAGTGTCAGCAACGAGAGATGACATAAAGTCTGACCAGCTGCATTTTTCACCTTTGCTTACAAAAGAAATTTAGGTCACATTTTCATAAGTTTACAACTTTTCTGAACATTAAGGGATGAAGTCAGATGTAAAATCAGATCTATTTTCCTTTGTGCTAATTTATATTAAGTAGGGATGATTTATCGGCAGAACATCGGTATAGGCCGGTATTCGCCTTGTTGACTGACATCGGCCTATCGGCAAATAAGATGTTGTTCATCAATGTCAGTGTTTATCGATTTTGTTGCATCATTTATGCAATTTTGGCTAAATGTTTTGTTGGTTATTTCCAATTCGGATATTGGAGAAATAATTACCTAAATTTTCCGAGCACTGGCACAAATTGCACGCAAACATTGATGTGCTCCGTACACGAGCACTGACAGCGAGCGTCTGTTCAGCTCTGCATCTCACATCTCGGATAGGAAGAGAAACAGACTGAGCTGCAACAAGGCAGAGATGCTTATCTTAGTAGCCTTCTTTTTGTTTCCCTGGCACAAAAGGGCAAATAAACAACAACAAAAAAACCTCCATATCGGCATCAACCATCAGCCAAATTGTTATTTTTAACGTCAGTATCAGCCCAGAATCTTCCAGTCGGTGCATCCCTTATATTAAGTCATATGTGGGTGTATTTTACCTACATGTTCTATTTAGAAACAGGATTTGGTTTGACCCTTTACTGCCTGAACCCTTGCAGGTTCACAGGATGTTAACGAATGAGTAACGTTGTGGTGTACGTACTGGGTGCTGCACTGTATTTGGAGTAGCATGTTTTGACAGTGTTTGTGTTTGCGTACGTGTGTGTGATGGTATTGAAGAGAGCAGTGTCTGACAGCATTAGAGAGTGTGCTGCCCAGTCATGGGATTATCTATCCCAGGGGCGTGTCAGCACCGATGGGCTCCGAGCTCCCTGGCACAACAGCGGAGAAGAGTCTTAATCTCAATCCCCCAAAATCCCCTCTCCTCTTTCAGGAGTTTCTTCCATTTGAAGACAGTGTAGTCCACCACGGCGAGCACGGCAAGCTCACTCTGACAGTCTGCACACGGGCCACTCGCGTAATGCAAACACGGGTACATATGGGGTCACCGTATCCTTCAGTCACACAAAGAGTCAGCACAGAGAGCAGCGTCCTCGTTTGAAGTCGATCAGACCGGCCTGTACAGGAACGCTTGGACTCTTAGCATTAAGGATGAGTCAGTGCTGTGAGAGAGTCATGAGTCATTTCTTGTTTAGACTGACTGTCTCTATGTTGTGGCCTCCTGGATACAGTCTGTGGCAGCCCAGCAGGATGGAGAAGGCCTTGCGGAAATCTGCATTGAAGGCATAGATGATGGGGTTGAGGGAGGAATTAGCCCAGCCGAACCACACGAACACGTCAAACGTGGTGGGGCTGATGCAGGGGAAGGCCTCCCCTCCGCTCGACTGCTCGCAGAAGGGCACCATGCAGTTGAGGATGAAGAATGGCAGCCAGCAGCACACAAACACCCCCATGATCACCGACAGTGTCTTCAGCACCTTGGTCTCCCTCTTGAATGTCATTTTGAAAGAGCTCTCTGACTCTGCGATGCTTGAGCCTCCGCCCATGCTGTCGTGCCTGTTCTTGGCATTTTCAGCCGCTCGCTCCAGGGCCGAGATCCTCCTGATTTGTCTGTGGGCGATGCGGTAGATTTGGGTATAGGTGGCCACCATGATGATCACAGGGATATAAAAGCTTATGAGAGAGGTGGAGATGGCGTAGGTCCTGTTCAGGCTCGAGTCACAGTTCTCCGGGCTACGGTAAGATGAAGCGTTCAAACCTGACGAGGCAGAGGACCCAGTGAGAGGGGTGTAAGGTTTAGTTTGGGCCTTGTGCCAGTTGAGCTGCACTGGGATAAAGGATATTAGGACAGACAGCGTCCAGGCCACACTGATCATCACATACGCCACTTTGGGTGTCATCTTCCTCTCATAGCGAAAGGGGCTGGAGATGGCCCAGTAGCGGTCCAAGCTTATCACACAAAGGTTCAAAATGGATGCCGTGGAGCACATAATGTCAAAAGCCACCCAGGTGTCACAGAAGGAGCCGAACGGCCAGAACCCGGCGATCTCCGTTACCGCCTTCCACGGCATCACCAAGATGGCAACCAAGAGGTCTGACACAGCCAACGAGATCACAAAAAAGTTGGTCACCTTGGAGCGCAGATGTCGAAACTTGGTGACAGCGGCACAGACAAGCATGTTTCCCAATAAGGTGGTGAGGATGAGCAGAGAGAGGAAACAGCCAGTTAGGACGCGGCTCGAAGGAGCCTCTTCCAAAAACCCATTGTCAATGACAGTCGTGAAGTTCATGAGATCCATCCCTGAACATGTGCGGGTCGGGTTGTTGTTCCTTTAAGTCATCCTGGAGAGCCGTGCTACATTATATCCACAGGGTTCAAAATCTAGGAGGCTCCTGTGCTCCAGCCAGGCAAACAAATCACCATCATTGCATCTCCTGATAAATGATGAATGGCGAGATGAGGCAAACCCTCTCTGAGTCGGACATTTGCCTCCTGACTTTGTTAATTAGATTTGACATCATTTGAGCTGCAGTGCTGAGGAGGCAGTGGTAACTTAATTCCTCTGTGTAATGACTGTGAGCTCTTCTGTCTGTCCCACACTGCTGTAATATTAGGAATCTCTCTGTCTGCCCACTAAAATCATCAGCAAGCCCTGTGGATTAAAGAAATTCATTTATAACATTAACTTAGATAATAGTTCTTGTCATAAAACACTGGTTGAAACACTTCATGTTTATTTTTGCTCCCTTTATGTAAGTTCTGATTATACTGTGCTATTTGACTGCATCTCAAATAGCCGATTATAATGTGTATAATGCAATGATCCGATTTTAAAAAGCATACTCTAAAGAGCACTGGCTACAACTGTCAGCAGGATTTTCCCATGAGCGCATTGTTATTATGAAGGCATGACTAATAAAGACTCCCACGGTCCTCCGTATATACCCCACAATGCTCTGTTTTAATCGCAATCCTCATACTCACCTCACCAGCTGTGGCTTCATTTAACATTTCAAAATAAATGTCCCGTCGGTTCCATTAGAACTTCCCAGCATAAAGTCCCATCCAAAAAAATAAAAAGGGGGATACAGTCCTCCACATCCGACAAAAACAAACCAAAGAAAAGTCCGATGATTATATCCTCGATGCACTCGCTGTCTGTTGTTCGCGAATAAATAAAACACACACATAACATTCCTCAGATGTCACTCAGCCATCACCGCTCCGGCTGCGTCCTCCTCCTCCTCCTGCAGCCCTGCGCGTCAGCGGCCAAATCCCGGAGCCTGTGCGCTCCGGCGCACTGACGTTGTCCCATTCAAGAGAAAAGTGAAGCAGGAATGAAAAGCATGTGACTGTGGCCCTTTGGCGACCAATTCCGCTATACTGCCTAATGCACAGTGAGTAACACCTGACCTGTCATGAGGGGCCTCTTGATGAAGGCTTTGGAAGGTTAATAACACATCGCAGTGCAGATTAAAGTCACCGGTTATCAGCGGCGCTGTCTCTTAATTTGACCCACTTAAATCTGCACTGTGGTGTAGTTTAATTAAATTAAGATGCGAGTTATAAAACTGAATCAGGACAAAGGCCAAACACGCAGGGGGCCAGTGAGTCGCTGAGGCCACCTAACGGAGAGAGAGAACCACTGCGCCTGTGAGAGGGAGATCGAGGGACATAAAGCCCATGTGAAGGATTTTTGTTGCAGGTTTTTAATGAATGAAATAGAGGGGTTTTTTTTTTTTTTTTTTTTTTTATGAAAGACAGGTTTATGCCCAGACAGAAGATTACATCAGAAACTCACATTCTTCATCCGCCTATGCCAGAGTTTTTTCATGTGCAGACGGACCAATGTCACCTTCAGCCGCAGTCATCATTTCTGTCTGCTCTGACCGATAAATCGTGCACTGCTTGTAAAAAAAAAAATCCTGGCAATATCTGTCAGCAAACCCATAGCTGTTGTGTTCAGTTGAAGCTGGTATCTCGCACGCAGAGCATAGTGGGATGCAGAAACAATCGTGACATGCCAGCTGTCACCTTACAGTGATTTAAGTACTTCTGACAGGAGGAAAAGAAACTGCTTTCACCCTTTTCCATCACAAACATCCACACTAGAAGACGGTTTAATGGATGGGTCGAAGCCATCAGACTGATGTAAATGAGTGAATAGAATAATACACGTGTTAATTTTCCTTTTGCCATATTTTCCTTAACATCTCTCACTCTGTCCTGTAACCCATTATCCCAATTTGTAGAACAATATAAGATCCTCTAACAGACAATGCTACATTTGTAATATAATAATAAGGAATATTCCTTTGTCTTGCCTAATATTTAATATAGGATTTATTTAAAAACAACAAATTGACAAAATTCAAATGTGACAGCTCATTATTTGTTAATATTCTTTAAATATTTCAGGACTCTCTTTATTAAATTTTATAGACAAACACCCAGTAATGAATGCATATTAAACCAATGACAATACAAGTCAATACCTCTTCTTAAAAAGTGTGTATTGAGCACCAACAGGTTTGTTGTCAGCAGGAAACTCAAGCGCTCCAACATTTAGCTGAGAGAGCTACCAGAGAGGTCAGTGATTGTTTTGAGAAATATGCTTTCTTGCCAAGAAGATCAATACCACTCTTCACTCTCACTTTAATTTTTTTTACGAGGGTGTGTGTGTGTGTGTGTGTGTGTGTGTGTGTGTGCGCCAGACTGTTTCTTGGCCAGGAGCGCCCACTTAACATAGCACCACTTAAACCACATTGTTTCTGTACTCACTTGTTATCTGAGGACAGAGCCAGGCTAGCTGTTTCCACCTGTTTCCAGTCTATAAACCAAGCTAAGAGGTTGCTAACTCATGCCTCGTATTGAACAGATAGACATAAAAGCGTTATCGATCTTCTCATCGAACTTGGCAAAGAGAGCGAATAACCATATTCCCTAACATATGGAACTATTTCTTTGACTTCAAACTGACTCTGTCACTTAATCGAATGTTTAACAGGTCAGCTAATCAGCATCAGTGCTCTGCCCTCCAAAGATCATTTAAAAATTGTTCTGGAAACCTGTGAATAAGTAAAATTGTCTGTCTATTATAACCGTGTGTTTATTATTCTCATGTGCTGCATTCTTTCATAAAAAAAAGATGTCATTTTCTTTTCTCTTCTCCCCGGTCTTACTCTCTGAGTGCTGCCTTGCTTCGAGGACATCAAAGACACAGCAGCCGGGCAGGGTCGAGAGTTTAAAGGTCAGAGGTGAGACCAGGGTAGACAGGCAAAGCAGAGATGCATTGTGGGCCTACTTCAGAGCGTCTCTCTCCGCCTGCCCTCTGCTCTGCTACTTCTCTGTGTTCAAAGGTGCAGCTGCTGCTCCTCTAACTCACATCCCATGCAGTTCAAAGGCTACATAGAGGCTGCTGCTGCTGGTGCGTATACAGTGAGTAAGGGTTTCCCAAACATGCTGACTGTCAAATCCTCTTTATTTTACTTTTCTTGCAATGTAATGAGTAATTTGCTCTCTTCAGACACCAAGCCATGACTAAAAAGATGTGTGAAAACAGATAAGGTAAACCACAACTGCAGCTTTTTACATAATTCATCAATCACGACAAGTGCTCATGTGGATGCTGATATATGTCTGGACAAGTTTGGAGTGTTTTTAGTCTGATGTGGGATGACAGTTACAGTGCTTTGAGAAAGACAGCTGAGGGCCAAAAAGGGGCTCGTTTTAGGAACCAAAATGTTAAAAAACCTCAGCCTTCTCTCTTTGCTGCTACGTGTTCGTGTATGTGAATGCAGGTGTGAAAACGTAGCTCTGAATATTTATCAGTCATGCTTATCTGCAAGTTCAAATGAGTGCGTGTGTCTTTTTTTTCGAGTAGTGGCATGCAAACATGTTAACTCTTAACCGCTTACCAGATGGACAGAATAGATAAGAGACAATGGTTGAGAGTTCTCTATTACTCTGTCTGCCTGTTTCTTCTTCTCTGCCTTACTCTTATGGGTCAAACACCCCCCACCCCCTCTCCTTATGTACCATGGCTTTACAGCCCATTAGCATCTCAATCAAAGATCGAATGTTTTGCTGATACAAACAGAAAATTGGTCTGCTACTTTCCTTTAAAATGACCTTTTTTTAAAATTACAAATACTCAATGAGAGTAAAATATGAAAGTAGTTAATTTATTTGACAACAGCAGCGCAGCATTTCTGAACTGACGTAATGTTTTTCACATTGTGAATATTACTTTGCCGAATACATCACAGGAAGTGTCCGATGATAACAAGAGTAATAAATAAATAAATAAACTGTAATATAAATATACATAAATAATACCAATAAATATATAAATTTCATTTTAAATGTGAATCTAATACATTCTCCGGTCTTTCATTTTATGTGAAAACATTAACTCAAAATAACTCTTAATTAGCAACAAGCTGCTCTGCATGAAAGAGAAAAACAGGCCGCAACCTTCATCTCTTTGCGGCATTTAGTTGTATGAAGAAGCGTTTGTACTGGTTGAAAGGCATCAGGCTGATATTCTTTGACCTCGTCAATCTTTCCTGGCATTTGTTGTTCTGGAAGAGGAACACAGAGGGTTTGGGATTATGTTTTATCATGATAGCCACTACTGATGCAGCAAGTAAAGGGTAAGAACTGTCTTGAAATCATGTTTCTGTTGACTAACCTTATGATGTGGTCCTAGAAGATCCAGGTTCGCCTCAAGTGCTTCCAGAATATCCCTGTCCTCCGAGAAATGTACCGTCACATTGTTAAGAAGATCCTTCAGCATCTTGACAAACATGCCCACACAGGACTGCTATGGAAAAATAACATGGCTTAGTCAGGCTATTGTAAATAAAAGTCCATGTGTCATCATTACCCGAGCCCAACAAAGCTCGGTCTAAATAGTTCAGAGTGCAGGTGGTGAAAAGGGTGCAATACTTACTGCATTATCTTTATTGTATGTCACACGCATCATCTGTGTCTACAGGGAAAGAAAATGTGTTTAATTCCTTCATTCAGATATTTTATTCTATCTGTAAGGTTATGACTTTAACAATAAAGCGTCTGACAGAAAGACCTGCAAGAGTGAAGCCACAAGTGTGGAAATAAAGTGTGATAATATGCAATGCAATATACTTACAGATGTGATATTGATGCGTTTCTCTTTGTAGAGTATGTTGAGCCTGTCCAGTTGCTCTATAATCTCCTTGTTCACCTGCCTGTTTGACTGAACACTGTAGTAGAGATGCAACAGGACGAGAAGGGCAAGCACGAACTTCATACTGCAGCGTTGTTTCTTTTCCTTCACAGCTTCTTCTTGTTGTCTTAAGTGTGAGTCTTGATGTGATCAGTATCTAGCCCATTCTTTTTATATACACAAGAAAAAGGAAGTCAATGACGTATCCTTGACTCGTCGTAAAAAACACCTACCTGAAAATGCAAATAATTGTTTTCTTTTTCATGTGATGGGCATCCTTTTAGGGTATTTTCAAAATCTGAACAGAAACTTAAGACATAAAAGTTATTTATGTATATCACCTCTGATATGAGTCAGCGTCAACAATCTTGTTTTACTGCATTCTGGTAGAAGACATTCTTGAAGAGATAGTAACTACATGCAAGCAGTTCATGAGCTTGTTTGCTTTTAAAAGAACAAGCAAACTATTTTGCAACTATGTGTACAAATGCAAATAGAAGGGGCCTCCAATATTTTGTTATGACATATGTAATCATGTAAACTCACTTTTATTTACTCACTACGACTTTTTCACCATTTCAAAGCTTTTAATGTTGCATTGTTTTTTTAACAGTGAGTACTCTGTGTTCATGTAATATCAACACATTGTCATTGACCTCAATGAGCTGTTAACATCGCTGTATTCTAAACTTTATTTCACTACTTGGAGGTGATCTAATTATGTCAATGCTGTGAGGTCTTACTGCAAATATAATAAATGTGCCACAGCTTATGGATAAGAGCTACACAGTAACCAGTAAAAAGGATTTTGGTCTGCTCCTGCAACTTTTAGAAATGAACTGGTATGTCATTGAACATGGGGAGAAAAAAAATAACATGTTCTTAGAGTATAAGGAAGTACTTTCTTAAAGAGTGAGAGAAACTGAGATGGGCATCCCTTCTCCTTTTTTCATCCCCACTTTCCGAAAATTTCTCACACTTCAGTTTCTGTGGTCAGAAAATATAGTTACTACAGTGTAATGACTAAGTGTGGGTCATTTCAAAGTTTCTGTTTTTTTCCCCTATGTCCAGGGCATTGGTTAAAGTGATGATTCATATGTAAGTAAGTGGGTGATGGAGATCCCCAACCTTGGCCTGCCGTGGCACGTACAGTTTAATTTGTGTTAGCACAGTTTCACGGGGAAACTCCTTTGAAGTTTAAATATTCAGTGTATCAGTTTTATTTGAAGGAGCGGTGTGTAGGATTTGATTCAATTATATTCACATATTCTATTTGTATATAATTATAACAAAAGTTATGTCAGGACACCTCTCAAATACAGTAGGTCTAG